TTCTCCGATACTGAAGACTATATTCTAGGCAGTGCCACCATTGCTCTTCATAAACATCAAGTTGTTGCCAGTTCCTCATTAAGGCATTGAAGTGCTGGTTCACCATCAAATCACCCTGACGCAAGTCGTGAAGTGTACTTTCTATGGCAGAGAGTTCTGAGTTATTTATCTTGGAATATGTTCCACGAGCTGTGTCGCAGATTTCCTTGGCCATTTTTAATAGGAGAAAATTCTCCCCTATTTCATTTTTCATTGGATTGATAAGCCAAGACAGCATCATATAGTCTTTGGCTTTTCAAGTTCAGTACTTTGGGTTGTTTATGACCAGCAGATCAGTAAATCCTATAAGGTGGGTAATCTTTCCCTTTCACGCACATAAACATTATGACAGACTGCAACCAATTAAGGTAGTTTTGGCCATTTTACGATGAATATCATCAGATTTTCCATCCTGCTGTTCCCCATCGAATAGTTTCTGTTGAATGCATGACTTCCAACTTCGAGGCTTGAAGATGGCCAACCATGTTGTACTTCCGTGTCATGAGTATTTTAGGCTAGATGGAACAAAGAACCATGCTCTGGTACTATGAAGAAAGCTGTAAATTTTATTTTATAATTTTTCCTTCTGATCTATTACATTATTTATAAGGTTACATTACCAAATTAGTATTCCCAAAAAAATGAAAAAAAAATATTCTTCTAAAGCATTTGGGAAACCTTCCTTCCATTATGACTTCAGTATCAAAATTTAAATCCTATTTCTCCTCCTATTTCTTCCCCTATATTATTTCCTAATATTTCTGCAGCTACCATTAATTATAGCATCCCCATAAATTGGTACTTGACTTTTAAACTCTAAAAAATATATAGTCAACGTTTCAATCCATTCCCAATCAAGTGCTATCATTAGTCATAGCATTCTCAATCCAGATTGGTCCTTGACTTTTGAGCTTTTAAAATTATATAGCCAGTGTTTCACTCAATTCTCAATCAAGCACTGTCATTAGTAACAATGTTATTTTATTGGAACGATACAGAGAAGATTAGCATGGCCTTTGCACAAGGATGACACACACAAATTGAGAAATGGTCCAAATTTTTCTCAAAATGTAGGGATGAAGAAATATCCTGGAAGCAAAAGTCAAGGGAGAGATGGCTGTAAGAGGGTGACAAAAATACAAAATATTTCCATGCAATAACAAGTAGCAGGAGGATAAATAATTTCATTGCAGAAATTTCCACTGAAGGCTGAAAGATCAGTGATAACCGTGAGCTTAGAGTGGCTGCCAGCAAGTATTCTGCCACTTTGTATGAAGAAGAACATGAAGGAAGACATACATTGGACGGGATCAGATTCAATATGCTGTCCAAGGGTAACAGGAAAATACTGGAGGAAGAATTCTCTGAAGAAGAAATTAAAGAGTGTCTGTTTATGTGTAACGGGGATAAAGCGCCGGGGCTGGACGGTTTCAACATGAAGTTTTTGCAAAAATTTTGGTATGTGGTTACAAATGAGGTAGTGGATTCGTTTAGAGAGATTTATAGAACGGGCAAATTTGTGAAAGCTATTAACACAACTTTTATTGCTCTCATTCCTAAAAAGAATGATGCCAAAGAGTTTGGGATTTTCGACCTATAAGTTTGGCGTGGTGTATCTATAGACTAATTGTCAAAGTCTTGACAAGAATGCTAGCGAGGGTTCTTGGGGATATAATTGGGGAAAGTCAACATGCCTTCGTAGAGGGTCGTCAAATCCTAGATGCTGTGATGGCGGCAAATGAGGTGGTGGATGATTTGTTAGTTGGTAAAAAAGCGGGGCTGATTTGCAAACTTGATATGAAAAAGGCTTATGACCATGTTAGCTAGAATTTTGTGGACTACATGCTTGGTAGATTTGGTTTTGGGGTGAAATGGAAACTTTGGATACACACTTGCATGACAACAACATCTTTTGTGGTCCTAATCAATGGTGGACCATCTGACTTCTTTAGAGCATCTAAGGTTTTAAGACAAGGAGATCCTTTGTCACCAATGCTGTTTATCTTAATCATGGAAGCCTTGGACGGTCTAATGAACAGGGCAAAAGAGCTGCAACTTTTTAAAGGTGTGAGAGTAGGTGAAGGCAATGTTGTCCAGGATGTTTCATATTTGCTATTTGCAGATGACACACTCATATTTTGCTATCTGTTTGTGAGAAACCTTCTTCATCTAAAGTGTGTTTTATTGTGTTTTCAAGGGGTTTTGGGTTTGAAGATAAATCTCCAAAAATCGGAATTGGTTAGATTGGGTGGTGATGGGAATGACAGAATATTTCCAAAAGTGTTGGACTGTAAAGAAGTATCACTACCTATTAAATATCTCGGCCTACCATTGGGCGCCAAATACAAGAATTGTGTAACTTGGGAACCAGTGGTGGAGATGTTTGAGAGGAGATTAGCGAGCTGGAAGAGGAAGTTCTTAACGAAAGGAGGTAGACTTACCTTGATTAAAAGTACTATGACTAATTTACCGATCTATTATTTGTCCACTCTCACAACTCCGATGAAGATTGCAAAGAAATTGGAACCATCCAATGTAAATTCCTTTGGGATGAGGATGAGGAGAGTCGTAGATTTCATTTGGTTAAATGGGAGGAAATAAAAAAACCTTTCAAATTTGGCGGGTTGGACATTAGGTCGATCGTTGAGCTTAACAAAGCTTTGCAAGGCAAATGGCTTTGGAGATTTCTGCATGAAAACAATAGACTCTGGAGGAAAATTGTTTGGTCCCAGTGGGGTGAACTGGATTGGGATATCAGTGGTGAGTGGAGTGTTGGCAGACAGCATGGGAGGCGTTTATGGAGGAAAATGATGATGCAGTGGCCCCTTTTTCGGTGTAATCTGCAGTGGAAATTAGGGAGGGGAAACAGCGTAAGATTCTGGAAAGATGTATAGATTGACAATGAATTTTTAATGAGGAGATTCGCTAGTAATTTTTTCAATATCACAGACTCAGAATATGCTGGTGCAGGACGATACAGAATCTGTAATGATGTTATTGAGTGGTCTATCAATGTATCCTGAAACTTGCAGGATTGGGAAGTTGGGGAATTTGAGAGTTTTCTTCAGCTCTCGGCTACACAAAAGGGACTTTCAGGGGAGATCAGACACTGTCGAAACTAGAAAAAAATGGTAATTTTTCTGTTAAGTCCTTCTACAAGCAGCTAACACAGTGGAACAATGTTTTGAGGTCAAACTTCCCATAGATTTGGAAAGCAAAGATTCTTCCAAGAGTCGCGTTTTTTGCTTTAGAAGCCTGCAGGGAAAGTATTTTAACAATAGATAAATTAAAGGGGGCTGGCTATTCCAGACAGATGCTATTTGTGTAAGTAAGAAGAATCTTGTAACCATATTTTGTTATGGTGTCCGGTGGCCTTTGACATTTGGAGTCTTATTTACAGTCTTGTTGGGATTAGTTGAGTGATGGTGGGGTCCATTAGGGAAGAATTGTGGGCTTGGGAGGGTGTGTACTCAGAGAATAGATCATTTAAAGTTAGTCCATTGACTATTTTTTAGGTACTTTGGAAAGAAAGGAATTCTAAAACTTTTGAGGGCAAAGAGACCGATTTATATAGTCTGAGAGATACGTGAATGCATTATTTTGAGTATATTTTGTTAGAACATGATATGATTAGTGATATGAACTTTGGGAATGTCATAAATTCACTAACTACATTGTAAAGTTTTTGTAAATGAGTCGTACCCCCATTTCACAGTACTATGTTAATACATATTCTTACACTTTTTATTTCAAAAAATTAGTAACAATGTTATCCAGCAGATGAAAATCTTATGCAGCTGCCACTTAAGTGTTACATCAAATATCAGATAGTTTATTGCTGTTAAAAAAAGCTGTCTTTTTTCTACCCAAGCTAAATGTTTTGACTGTTAACTCCAGCCTAAGGTGTGAGAAAACAAAGAGAAGTCTTGGTTATTCTGAATTCCACATGCTTATTTGATGCTTATGTGGCATTTAAGTGGTGGTCATACATGATTTTCATATGTTGAGTGCAATCCGACTAGCGGAAAGACTTAGAGAATGGATTAAGACATTGGAGTTTAATTAATAATTAATTGAAATGTTGAGATTCATAATTTTAAGAGTCTCAAGCTTGATTGCCAATTTGAATCAAACCCGAAAGCTCTGGAAAGAATATAAGATTTGGAATAACAAAGAATCAATTACTCATTTTGTTACCCCTTCCAAAAAGCTTGAATACAGGTATATGCATCCATGGACGGAAAACAAGATATGATCTCTTTCTATATGATTGCAGGTGATAAGAAAAACACTTTCATATACTAAATTTGCAGGATACTGCTCTAATATTAAAAATAAAAATGGTGGTCTCGATCATAATAGATAAGGAGAAACACAATTTACTTTGACAAGAGAAGCAAAAGACCACAAGCATGCTATTCATAACACTTACAAACCAAACACCAAAAGAAAATGGATCATACACTCAATCAAAGTCCATAATAAGAATGATAATGCATTTGGCGATAGAAATAAGGAACAGTGACAGCCTTCCAAGAAATAAATATTCTGAAAAGGAATGAATTCATAATGAGATGTCAACTTACTGAAGCAGAGGGGAATACTAGAAATATCAAAATTGGAATGACAATAAATGGACTTTTTTGAGAGAAAATCACACGACTACAAGCAATAAGCCTTAGATATTCAAACTTACAGAAGATATAATTTCCTTATTTACTGATTAGAAAAGCATAAACTAGCAAAAACAGGCTGTTTTATCAAATTTCAAAGAATTCCACTCCCAGGATTTTATGATTTTGGGAAATAAATTTTTGTCCATCAGTTCCATCGAGTTTCAATTTAAGGATGCTGTACATTAGGATAAACAAAAAAGAGAAACTAAATAAAGGATAAAAAATTTACATGACTAATTGGAACAGACAAGATGGATTACATTATTCTTCAGAAGAAGTTATTACCTTTTACTCTCTGCTCATACGCAGTACGATCACGCATCATCAATGCAGCAGCTTCTCCATTCAATGGATCTGATGGATTGGGATACAGAAGAAGCTGAGGAAGAAACACTTCAAACACATTCACCAAATCTGCAAATGAGCACAGAAAAGGAAAAAAAGAACCTCCATTATTTAACTTCGAAAGAAACAGTATTAATTGTAAAAGTACAAGAAAAAAAAAATATCATGATAAGATGACAAAATCTGTAGGAATCAATATCTTTTATGGAATGAAAATAATAATGTATTTGGTTTACCAAACATCGGGCTCCATGTTTGATTGATAACATCTAAACATACAGAACCAGACCTGAAAATCAATGGACAAGAAGGGTTCAGGCTTCAGAATCAGCTCCGGAGTGAAATTATGTGTTTCAATGTCCAAACTAGCTCCACAAGAGAGAATATTGAAAGAAGCTAAAGTAGGCCACATCCATAAACTCACATTTCATCAACATTTGGGTGGTAAATTTTATTGACAAAACCAACAGAAGGAGATTTATAAGGATAAGCATCCGGCAGCTCCACCCTTATCTTCCACACACCCCCCTGATAAAGACCTGTCATATTCCAAGCAAGACAATTGAAAACCCAGAAAAAAAAAGGCTCTCTTCCTTTCAAGTTGAAAACAAATCGAGAAAACTTTGTGCCAGTAAACTTTATCATCATTCATGAAAATCAGGGACCAAAAATTGCAGCAAATGTCCAAGCAGCAGGAAGTCGCCAAAAGGATAAAAAAGGAATTGGAATTTAGATTGATAAAAATAAGTACATGTTATTGACAGGATACAATGTTCAAAATGATCAATGAAGAAAGTTCAGCAGCAGATTTCCAAAAAACGAAGAAGGAAGCTCGATAGAAACAAGTGAACAATATTGAATGCTAAATCTACAAACCCGAGCATCTGAATACAGTCAATACAACTGACGAAAAGAAACCAGAAAAGAACCAAAACAATCAAATTTCAACTGGAATAAGAGGCAAAAATCGCAGGAAAAGAACAGATATGGGTGTTAATTTACTGTCTTTCGGTCCATTGAATTCCACATAGAACTCTTGCATGCCATCATTTATCATCTCCACCTTGTAGTCACTCATCATCCTAATCCACATCAATCAAAAAGAAAACCAAATTTAAATTCCGATCAAACAAAACCGAACACGCAAAGAAGAAAAAAAAGGAAAAATGAATAATCAAGCGGCTCTGAATTCAAATATTTACAGTTTCATCAAATCCATCTCCCTGCGCTTGCTCGGAGAAGACATGATTGAGTTTTCTTTGATCTTTTCTTGAGTTTGGTGGAAGGCTAAGGAAGAGAGAGTAGTCCACAAACGAAGACGACTCAAAAAAGTGGCTTCAGACATGATTGAGTGAAAGCAGGATATTTATAGGCACGCAGAGTGAGCCGGCTCTTTCGCAGTAATTAAAACCCTCAGTAAATGTAACTTTCTTTCCTTTTCCTTTTACCCCAAGTTCCTGTTTTACTTTTACCATGGGGTTCTAAAAATTAAATTGAAAAAAGAAATAACAAATTCAAACTCATAATAACCTAATATTATAAAACATGATAATTTAATATTCTAAAATCCCACCTAACCTTTTATATTTCTAATATTATGAAGCATGAATAAATGTAAATGATTACTTCTAAATGTGTTCAAAAAATATGAAAATAAAATTTAAGTATATTAATATATTTATATAGTTTGCCAATTCAGAAATAATTTCTAATTACTCTATTATGATCACTATTTTTTAAACCTCATAGGAGATTTTGGAACCCAATTTAATGCAAATCATATGTTTTTTTAATTAATGCAAAATTAATTAGTAATTAGGCAAAAAAAAAATTTTAAAGAAAATATTAGAGTATGATCAAATTTAGAATAGTAATAGTGAGTTAGCAATGAGGTATTAATAATTTTTAATCACAAATTATATTTTAACACTTAAAGCACTAGAATTTTAAGTGTTATTACTTTTGAGAGGTAATACAAGAAATCAAATATGGGTTTATTGCAACAAGTTATTAGATTTTGTTACTATCTTAGTTATAAACCAAATTTGTAATTTGTGCTATACACATATTCTATAACTTATTATATTAATTTTTTATTTTTCATTAATTAAAGTAGATTTCCTAATTAGAAGATAGTATGAATTTTTATTTTTTTCAAATAATTATTATTTTTTTAATTACGTTGGAATAGTTAATTTGATCATTAATCGAATGGTTCTTTTTAAAATGTGAATAATTTGAAAAATAGGATTAAAAACATATCTAAGCTTCTATTAAGAACAAATTTAGGATATGGTAGAATTCATTTGTAAATTCATGTTTGGTTCAACTAAAAAATAATAAAAATATTTTCTAAAACAATAAAATTCAATCTCATGAAAGTTCAAATATTAGAATTATGCATTCTAAGTTCTTTTGATTTTAATAAAAATTGGAATACGTTATTTCACTTTAATATAAAATCATGTTATCTTAAAAGAATTTATGTTATCTTGTAGTTAAATTAAGTATTAATTTAAAAATAAGTACTTCATAATTTTTATAACTAGTTAAACTACGAGACTAATTCTTTTTATATCGTACAAAATACATCCATTTCCCTTTTGTATTGAGATAAATTAAAATTAGAACTTCTTTCGTACAATTTGTCTAACTATATGAGTAACATAATAAAAATTCATATTTTTTTTCCTATAACTAAACTTATTTTGAGAATTATTGTCTCATTTCTTTATTATATTTTGTTACTATTTTATTATTATATTAATTAATGGTAATTATATTATTGACATCAAAATAAGTAACAAAATATAACTAATTCGTAGTTACTAATACAAACATAAATCAATTCATAACTTAATTAAAAATTCAAATTAACTTAAGAAAAAGAAAAATTGAAACTGATACTGAATTTATTTTAACTAGTTCAAGATTGAGGTAAAACAAATTTGGTTCCATTCGATTTTAACTGATCATATAACGTATCACACTCAAATATCACTAGCCTAACAATCTTTCAAACCAAAATCATTAACAATTAAAAACTTAAGTTCAAATTACTAATAGTGCATAACTTGAACTTTTTATATAGATAACAACAATTATATATCCTTCCGGTGTATGAAAGGTATCACAATCTCTACTATTACAATTTTTGATATCCTTATCAAGGCTACATGTCATGTGATCACGAACTAAAGGACTATAAGATCTAATATCACACCAATCAAAGTCATCAAACTCACACATACTTTAATACCATTTGTGATATCTTGGGTTAAGTATCATTGATATAACAATTTTTCAAATTTAAATTATTAACTCTTAAAAGTTTAAATTCAAATTATTTATATTGTATAATTTAA